AAGGGAGGCCTCCTTAATAAGAGGAGAAAACACTTGAAATTGTAAGGGATGAGCCTCATGGATATGTTTGCAGTAAGTTCTGGGCAGAATAAAGCAGTTTCCTAGGTTATTCAGTCAGTGCAGCCTTCACGGGTCTCAGCAGTGGACGGCCTGGGATGCGAGGCCAGTTGACCTTTCCTTTACTTGTCTTACTACAGATACACTCAGGGCATGTGGGTGAGAAATCCTGGCTCTGTCTCTCAGAGCCTGCAAATCTCCACTGAGGTGGACTGGGTGAGGCCTGGAACCAGTCAACGTCACCTTTCCTAGAATTCTGATTTTCAGAGTTTCATCCCTGGACCCTCACCCAGAGTGTCACCTAGGGACTCTTGAAAAGCACATTCTGAATCCTGAACCTGGCCAGATCTACTGAATCAGGCACTTTGTGGATCAGGCCCAAGTGTCTGTGTTTTAACAAGCTTCCACATGATTCTAATACCTATTCAAGAAATTTCCACCAATTTTCTGCTGTGTTGTGCAGAAATATGTACCTGCATTTTTTGTGACTAACAGATATTCTGTCTAAATTTGTAGAGTTTTAAAACTGAAGTTGGCAAAAACAAAAACAAAGAGAAAAACAAGAAACTGAGTCAGTACATATTTGTTTTCCTAATAGAAATGAAAGTATAAAATGTTTTCTATCTCTTATTGAAGGAGTCCTATCCCATATACAGTTATAAAGTAGTATGTCAAAAGTCTCAGATAGTTAAATCTCCTGGAGAAAAAGAAAGTTTGCAGTATAGCATCCTTTTAGAATGGCTCGTGCACATGGACTCCACTGAGTGTCTATATGTTAAAACATGTTCCTGTACAAGCTGATTTCTGTAGTAAAAATAAAGTCATATTTTGTATACAGATCAGTACTTTGCTGTCTCATTTAACAATGTATCTTGGACAACCTAAAGCTACTTCAACCTTTTACACCTGCTACCTCCTAAAGGCCACACTTAGTAGACCTGAAGCTGCCTCTTTTATTTATATTTTAAAGGTTTTATTTATTTATTTATTTGACAGAGACAGAGACAGCGAGAGCAGGAACACGGGCAGGGGGAGTGGGAGAGGGAGAAGCAGGCCTCCTGCTGAGCAGGGAGCCCAATGCCGGGCTTGATCCCAGGACCCTGGGATCATGACCTGAGCCGAAGGCAGACGCTTAACAACTGAGCCACCCAGGTGCCCAGAAGCTGCCTCTTTTAAAAGACTCCTTGCGGGTCACCTGGGTGGCTCAGTCGTTAAGCATCTGCCTTCGGCTCAGGTCATGATCCCGGGGTCCTGGGACCCAGCCCCACGTTGGGCTCCCAGCTTAGTAGTAAGTCTGTTTCTCCCTCTGCCCTTCCGACTGCTTGTGCACTCTCTCTCTCTCTCTCTCTCCCTCTCTCTCGAATAAATAAATAAAATCTTTTAAAATATATATACAAATAAAAGACTGCTTGCATTTCATTGCATGCTCCATGGCTGGCCAGCTGCACTGGGGAAGCTGGGCCTACCTACTGATCTCGCCTTGGTCCTACCAAGATCCCTTCTCAATGGCCATGGAAAACTCTGTAGAGGTACCCAAGGTGGTTCCTTGACGCTAGAGAAGTGGGATTTGGGAGAATAGCCCTGGCTCATGGAAACATGTGGCTTGGGAAAATGAAAGATGTAAGGGCAGAGGTCAGGAAACTGCTTCCTGGGTGGCCACCTGGTTATGCACGGTATGGAGCAACAGCTGTGTTGCACTCAATTACTAAAGGTAAAAGCTACCAATGGAATTTACAAATGGATCCAACTCCTGGAGACTTGGTTTTGTAGATGCATTGAAAAAACTAGAGGAGAGTAAGAAAAAAAGCAATATGCAATTCCTTGATTATTGTTGTGTAATAGCTAAATGTAATTTAATAAGAGGGCTGGCAGAGAGAAAGCAAGGAAGGTGAGGTCTCGTCCTTCCATCCTCCTCTCAGGGCATTTCCCAAGCTGCACGTGGATGTGGAGGCAATAGAGATCATAGCCAAGGGATATGAAGGCAACAGGAAATCCCACTGCTTAGTCCTTGGGAGAGGAGATCTCCATGGACAGGGCTGACCTATAGCCTCAGTCTGGGCTCTTTAGGTCCCCTTCACCACAGAAGCAGAGATCACCACTCTTTCCCAGCAGAGGTCAGGTACAGACAGGTGACATCATCCACAGAATCCCATGTTCCTCTTCCAGAGGCTGAATCCTCACTTCTCACTTTAGAGGCTAACTCCCAACCTGTGGCACCTGGCAGTGCCCCTGCATGTGGGGGGATAATCTTGGGGACCTGTTGAAGCCAGCATCCATCTTGTTAGTTCAGATGAAAGAAGGAACACTGTAGGTCATATTGTCCCCATGCACAGCTGGACTGACCATGGAACATGCAGACACAGGCCCAAGAGATAGGAATACTTGCTTATCATTCAAAGGAATACGAAGGAATGCAACCCTGTTAGCTTATGTATGTATAAGTGGTTAATTTAGGCACATACAAGCAGCTGACCAGCACTATCCTAAACACATAATCACCAGATGTACCTAATGAAACCTGTAACATAAGAAATTAATATATTTTTCAGATTTTAAGTCTTGTGAGATAGAACAGACCTCTGTGGGACCAGATGAAAGGGCACCAGAAGTATGTAACATCTGTTAACATGACTTTATGGGCTCCCAATCTATAGCATCCACCTTCTCTGGAGATCCCTACTCCCATCAGGGAGTTCAGGACTTTGAGCATTAGCTCCCTGTTCTCCTGGGTGGTGCCACCAATAAATAGCTGATTTTTTTTTCACCTTGGAAGCTGGGTGTCAGTCTTATTGGCTTGCTATGCATCTGGCAGATAAACTGTCCTTTGATTCAGCTACACTCTTTTATGGACAGGATACAGGTAGTATGATGTGGCCCTTGCTTCTGCCTTCTGGACTCTAAGGAGGGCAGCAAGACCAAACAGCACCCCAACCATAGGGATCTGGAACCTAAGGCTTGTGTCTGTGTCACCAGCCTCCTGGCCTTAGTACCTTTAATATTTGGCCCAATTCTCAGTACAGGAGACCCCTGAGAGTGGCCAGGTGGACAAGGGACTAACCCAGAAGTCTCCACAGTTTTCTGTGGGCTTGGAGGAAGGACCTTGGGGGCACATAGGAGAGATTCGTAGGCTGGGCCAGCCGGCCAGCCACGGAGCAGGAGGACAATGAAATGCACAGCAGTCTTTAAAAAGAGTTGGGTTTAGGGCGCCTGGGTGGCTCAGTTGGTTAAGCGACCGCCTTTGGCTCAGGTCATGATCCCGGAGTCCCGGATCGAGTCCCACATCCGGCTCCCTGCACGGCAGGGGGTCTGCTTCTCCCTCTGACCCTCTTCCCTCTCGTGCTTTCTATCTCTCATTCTCTCTCTCTCTCAAATAAATAAATAAAATCTTTTTAAAAAGTAAATAAATAAATAAAAAGAGTTGGGTTTAGGTCTAATATGTGTGGATACAAGGAGGTGTGGATATAAAATGAGGAAGTGGCTTTAGAATGTCCGAGATATATAGTTAAGTGAGAAAAGCATAGTGCAGCTCTGTATACAAAGCATGTCTTCACTTTTAACCACAACAAACAACTTTTATAGAAACAAATCTGAATTCAGGACCCAGACAGAATGACACACACATGTGCAGACTCAATTCTAAAAGGATAACACTATACAGTAAGCCTCAGCTTCTCTGTGTATTTTTGTAATTCTGTCTACTCTGTCACATTGTTTCTTTTCTCTGATACTGCACAATGTTTTCAAGAATGAAGAAAGAGATCATTTTGGAGAAAACCATCAGAGTGTACATTCTGGTCATGTGTTCAACCTAAATATTCCTGTTCTCGGACATCACTGCTAAATCTTCTCTGAGGTCTTAACTTTTTCCCCATCCACTGATGTTTCATCAAATCTCTGTCTGCCATCACCTTTGAATCACTACATAGCCACTGGTAATAGCTTTCTGTAATTTGCATTTTGCAGCTCTAGTTCTGAGGTAATACCAATTCCCCATGCAGAACAGTCCCTGCAAAAGAAATGGTAATCACTTCCAAACAATGAGACATCATGGTTTTAAGTACTCCAATTCCTTGGAAAAAGGAGAGCAGCCTTTGCATACATGCTCCCTCTTTGAACACTGCAGCCTTTGTCCCCTTCTAAAACAACATTTATTACATTGTTCTTTGATTGATGGATGTTAGATTCCTAAAAGGAACTGGGTTTATGCCAGGATATGAAGTAAGATATTAAATGGATAAAAGTATTGTTCAATGAATTGGACACAAAAATTAGTGATCAGATTAGAGAGATGTTTTCTATGGGTGCATTTTTTAAAAACGCTTGCTTTAGGGTGGCCTCACATTCATCCTATATCTTTTGTGTCACGGCCCTATATGAAGTATTTTTACCTTGTCTCTGACCTAACATACACAGAATGACAAAACTGTCTCTAAGGCTGCTGGGTGTATTTCACTTGTAGGATGATAACGTTTACTAGGTTCTGCTTCCAGGGACACATTTTGTATCTAAATGACTGTATAGAATGATATGTGCCTTTGGGAGCATATGAAATGGTTTTAGCTTTGGGACCACGCTGAGCATCAAGGGGTCTGAAATAATGTCTACAAACACTTGGGTGATCAGTTGCAGACACCACTTCCCAGAGATCTGGGTACGGATCCTTTAAGAAGGAGCGAAGCCGCCCCCCCCCCCGCCCCGCCCCGCCCCGCCCCCGACCTGGGAAGGAAGACCCTAATCGCCAGAGCCCTTAAGGGGGCATGGCCTTTCCTCCCAGAGGTCGATGGGAATGTCTCATGCGCGTCCTGTGTGTCTGTGAACTACATTACCCAGAAGAGCGCGCGTCGATGGACGGCATCCCTGACCAATGAAGGTAGAGAAAAGAGTCGTTTCTGCGTGTGCCCCTAACGTCGGGGCGGAGCTTCCGGCCTCATCCCCCTGGCGGTCTTTTTGCCTCTTTCATGCCTGTTCATCGGCTAATGTTCTGGAGCGCAGGTTCGGGATCGGGGTGACTCACCGAGAAGGCGCGAGGGAAGGCGCTGTCGCCGCCGCACACACTTGGGTCCGCGGCTGGCGACGCCGCCCGGGCTGCCCCGCGCCGGGGGCCGAGACGGGGACCGCCGGTCCGGGTGTCCGCTCCGCCTGCCGTGTCTGATGGCGGCGGCCGCGCCCCGGGACCCGACTCAGGTAAGCGCTCGTCTTCCTCCCTCCCCCGACCCAGACCCCGGAGGCCCGAGCGCGGGGCGCCGGCTCGCGGCCCTGCGGCCCAGGCCCCGGCGTCGGACTGGGCGGCGGCGGTGGGCGGGGGCCCCGTGTGCGAGCGCCGGCGTGCCGGCGTGAGGAGCGGGCTCCGGGCCGGGGGGCCTGAGGCGGGAGGAGGCCGGAGGGAGGCTGGAGGGGGCCTG